GTAGTTTAGAAAGTTCTCCTAGAGCCATAACCAGATTGAGCTACTATTAGTAGTCAAGGGCTGTGTTTTTTTGTTTTGTTTTGTTTTGTTATGTTTTAGTGACCCAGAGAATATAGTGATCAGGCACACTCTAAAGATAAGCACTGGAGGTTTTATGAGTGACAGTAGGTGGCGCCTACCATGCAGTACTCTCACACTTGTATGCATAATAATGACCTGTGTAGCTTGTTACATATATAGATTTCTGGGACCCACTCTCAGAGACTGATATATTTTTTCTCAAGTGAAGCCTTGGAAACTGCATTTTCACAAGTTCTCCAGGTAATTCTGATTCAGGTAGTCTGTAAACTACACTTTGAGAAATACTTTACATAATAAGCAGGATTTCTCATTGACTTTCAATCCTAGAAAACCAAAAGGCATCCTTCTCTTCCTATCTGTCAAGTGAGGTGATAAGATTGGCCTTTGAGGTACCCATGGTTGTCATCAGTTGGCCAAATGACCTCAGCCTTCTGTGACTGGATGTTCCTGAAGACTCATCCTCAGTTTAAAACTAGCAGCAGTGCTTCACTAGTCATTAGAGCCTTCCCTAATTCCCACCCAGTCTGGCCTCCAGGATCATGGCTGTATCTCTCTAGGGCATAGCAATCCATAAGACTCTCATGATCAGGTTTGGATTTGAACTGGAGGGAAAGATTATTGGCCAAGGGAGGGTGCTCTGTAAATGGAAGCCTTTCTGCCCTTTCATGTACTCTAGATAAACTTTCTCTGTGCCATTCCCACATCACCTTAATTTCTGAAAAAGAGATTTCAGACCACATGGATTTTATGATATTCAAGGCTAGTGACTAAAGCCAGGCTTGGGTCTGCCTTGGACGCAGGAGAGGAAAAAAGAAAATCAAAGTATGGTGAACTTGCTTTTGCAACTTCTTGACAGCACTACCTCTTGGATTAGAAATGCAGTTAGAATTCAAAGCTTCAGGGTCATAATGCAAGTAGAAGTTCTCCAGGAAAGTCCCTTTCATGGAATGTGAGTGAGTATAGACAGCAACAAGGGTTTCCTGCCTAGCTTCACCAGACTATGCCACCATATTGTTGGCATTAAAATTTGGAAATAAACCAAACAAAGGTATTGTGTGGGACTGTGGTCTGCAAGGGTCATTAGACCGTGGTCTAATGAGTGTGTGAAACACTAATGGTAAAGGTAATTGACTTTTTTTCCTGCAGGACTGCTGTGAACTTTTAATATACTGAGGAGCTTCATGAATCTCCAAGAAGGGAAAACACCATATATATCGTTCCCAGAATTATTTGACTGTGGAACTCTTTCGTCACCTTTTAGGGCTTGTTTTCTATAGACTACACTTTCAGAAATATGATAGCAATGACATGACATGGTTAAAAGTATTGGGCAAGTATATGTGTTGAACACTATGCCAGTGCTTTATAAATTCTATCTTGTCTTATTCTCACAACTTTCTAAAACAAGCACGAGTTTTATCTCCATTATGCAGGTGAGGAAACTAAGGTCCAGTGTAAGTCATTTAGCCCATAAGTGGCTGTCAGAATCTGATTCCAAAAGCGGACCGTATCAATTACTTTACCCCAAATGTGGAGTTTTGAATTTGTTCTCATACACGCAACCTGTGACCATTTGTTTAGCACTCACTGTACATCGATCACTTTTCACAAGAAGACTGTTATTATTACTGTAAGCATTGCTATTATTATAATCAACCCAGGTCCTCCTGAATGGAATATCATAATTCAATGCATTTCTGAGTTCCTCGAGGCTTCTAGAAACGATGTGTACAGCACCAGACTCAGAAATGTTGAGTCACTTGCAGTACTGTTGTGCCCATGCTTTACTCTGTGTATGAATAATGGCAAATAAACTGCTCAGCACTTTCCCCCACACTTCTACCTTGTTTAGGCAGCAATGGAAGAGGGATTAATTTATGCTAATTCCACACAACAAGCTGAAGCCCATTTCTCACAAGTTTCCGTTCCTCAGCAAATCACACACGAGCACACCTAAGTGTTGGGCACACTAAAATATGCAGCTGCTGTTGTGTGTAGAACGATAATAGGCCCGTTTATATTCAGGCACAGACCAGCAAGCAGCAGCCTCCCACGGAACACAGAGGGCAGTGGTACTCAATCTCTGACTGCTGCCTCCTGCTTGCCTGCCTCCGAGGAGTGACTAAGTGACGCCAAGATGGCGGGCGGAGAGAGAGCACACATTTTAGAACTGGGGATACAGAAGCTCATTTTCCCAAAATAATATGCTAATTACTTAACCATCTTAATGCTGCTTGTTCACGAATGAGGATTTGAGTGGAAATGATTTAGAATTGGAAGATTTAAGCTTGTGTGGGGAGAGAGAAGTGGAGGAAGTGAAGAGAGAGAAGGAGAGTCTATTTGTGTGTGTGTGTGTGTTTGCTTTCTGTGTTCATTAGAGCCTGGCCAAAGCAATTTCCTCTCTTTAGTTTTCCATTTGTTTCAGATACCAACCCTTTCAAGCTTTCTTCTTGGTTGCTCCATAACACTGAGACTCTACTTATTCTGAAAGAGCAGTCAGCTAGGAATTAGCAGTTTAGCTAATAAAGCTAACGTGCCTCTAACTGTCTGTGGCTCCTCTCTGGGAAATTAAGGGTTTGCATTAGAAGATTACCCTTAAGATATCTTCCTATTATTATTTCCTTAAGTATGATAATGGTATTGTGATAATGTCGAGAGAGACACCTTGTCTTTTAGAATTACAGATGCATTTATATGACAGCTGAGATTTGATTCCAAATAACCCAGTGGTTGGAGGTTGTGGGAACTGGATGGGGGTAGAAATAAAATAATATTGTCTGTGGGTTAATTGTTGTTGAAGCTGGGTGGTGGGGACATGAGGCTTCATTTCTCTGTGCACACATACCACACATATACATATATGTGTACAAATACATGTCATCCAAGTTTGAGTATGTGAGCTATGATTCTAACTGCTCCTTGTAATACTGAGTAATGTTTTACCTTGTGTCACTTGTTAATTTGCTTTTTGTGCTATAGTCTTAGGCCTAATCCCCATCCTCAGAAACATCTTTTTAAATTTCTGATATCTCCCACTGAAATTAGCCCGGGGTTGAATATTTAGAAAGTGTGTGTATGTGTGAGATGACTTGGGTTCAAGTATTAGCTCTTCCATATACTAGTTCTGAATCCTTGGAATGACACTAACCAATGAGAACTTCACTGTTCTTATCTGTTCAGTGGAGATCCTAGCCCCTGCCTTCTATTTCTGAAAGTCAATTGCGGTAATATCTATGACAAATGGAAGGTGTTCTCCCCCTGATGGCATCCTAACATTTGTGGTGTGAGTTCTGAAGTATTTCTGGACTCCTGTGCTGATGGCACTGTGTTTGCCTAAGTAAATGAAAGGGACCTTTATTTTCTCATTTCGAGTTGAGAGCACATTTGCCTTGGGTGCTCCAGTGCAGTGGCACTACACCCATCTTCTCACACACAGACTCACAGGCTCGCACTTCACGGCTTAAGCACTGTTTAACTTAGAGAGAGAGAATCACAGGGGTTGCTTAATTTTCATGCTTTCTGAAAGCTGATTCTACTAAAACAACTAAGCCTGTTTTCTGAGGAGGAGGGCTTGACTTTTGTTTTTCACCAAAACTATTTGGTGTGTGGAATATGCTTTCCAGCAGTGGTTACTGAGTGGCTGGGATGTAATCCTCCAATAACCAGAGGGGAAGCAGCCTCAAGTCTTGTCTGAGACCATCAGTATTACAGCCACGTATGCTTGAAACTTTGTACCTGGGTGACCAGAACATTGCCCTCTTGGTTCTCAACAGAGAAAAGCCACAGGAGATGGTGCTTAAAGGTCACCCACATTTCTGGGTATCAGGCTTTGCTTAAATTGATGGAAGGTAAAGGTCAGCATCCAGGCTTCTAAGAGGTACATGGGGCTTGTGTTTTATGCTTGAGCTGTGCTATATTTGCAAAAGGTCAGTTTTTGAGAGGCTGAAAATTAATTGCAAGCAAAGTCATTAAAGTACAACAGATTTGACCTTGAGATGGAGGAGGATCTGGAGGTGGAGAGACATGTTCCTCAGAGCTGCACTCTAAGGGCAAACTCAGGGAGGCGGAATCTTTTACAGATGCAAAGCCATCTGTTTGGTCCGAGAGGAAGACTCAGTGCTCTGAGAGGCTGGCGCTTCCTGGCACGAGCTGTCAGGGCTTTGGGAAATTGTAGAGACAACACCGGATTGCTCACCCCTCCTCCAGCATCAGAGTGGCTGCCCTTGTAAAATATTCACTTAGCCGTCAGTTTCTTGTGTGCAAAAAATATAAGCAGGCTCCATGACTCTCTGGTTCTTTCTCTCACATGACAATGGCTGGGATAGGACTGAGAGAGAGTGGATAATTCATAGGAATATTCCTTTTGGTGGTTTTTCTGGTTATCCGCATTGCATAGTGGGAAAAGCTTGCATTCAGAGTATAGGAAAATTTAATACTTATGTTATTATAAATATTGATTAAAAATAATAATAACAGCAGCTGTAGCAGTGAAAGCTCATACTTATGGAAGACTTAACCTGTACCTGACACTGTTATCAGTGTTCCACATACGTTAATTCGTTTGATCCTCACAAAAAACCCAGTGAGATGTGTACTGTTATTCTCCTCTCACCACGTGAGGCACATTAAGGTGAACTAACTTGCCCAGGATCACACAGCCAGCATGTGGTAGAGCCGGCCTTGAATCCAAGCAGTCTGGCTCAAGGGTCTGTGCTTTGAATTGCTCTGCTGCACTTCTTGAACAGGCCAGCTAGAGCATTCTGGGGCCTGGCATGGGCTGAGACGCATACACATATGTAGATATGTGCATCCCACGTGGTTTTCTGGGACTCACCGTGCCTCTATGTGAACAGTGTAAGCCTTTCAGAGTCATGCCTGCCCACGTCTCTGCTCATGACCATACCTTTTTTCTCCTCTAGCCCCACTGGTGGACCTCACTCCAACCCACAGTGGATCCGCCATGCTGATGCTGCTCTCGGTGGTGTTTGTGGGGCTGGCGGTGTTTGTCATCTACAAGTTTAAAAGGTACGTGTCCCTCCGTCCACATCTCCCCTCCCTCTTCCTTCTTCCTGGCAGGTTCAGAAGCATGCGTCGCAGTGATGTACATCTCCCATGCATAGCAGTGATGGTTTCTGTTAATGTTTTAGGAAGATCCCGGGGATTAATGTTTATGCCCAGATGCAGAATGAGAAAGAACAAGAGATGGTCAGTCGAGTCAGTCACACTGAAAGCAGGCCCCATATCCCTCAGACTGAACTAAGGAGGCCTGGCCAGCTGATAGATGAGAAGGTGGAATCACAGCTCATAGGTAAATGATTCCCAGTAGCCATAAGCTGTTCAGCCAAGTAGTCAATGGCTGACTCTCTCTCTAACCCCTTTCTTGCTTGATATAACCAATTTTTTCTGCTCTAACATCCCTGAGAGAAACAGCTAAGATGCCTCTTTCCCTGCTTCCTCCCATTGGAATGAGAAAAAAAAAAAAGCCTTCTTGCTCCTGTCTAGTTTTTTTCTCTCATAAGTTTATTCTTCTTTTTGCAAAAACTTTTGCTAAAACATTGGTCTTCGAAATGTTCATGGGCAAAGAGCAAAGCATTTGCTCTAACAATATACAAGAAGGACAAGCTTCAGAGGCTGCATCTGGTGGTCTGGAGGGCCGAGTAGGGCTTGAAGGATAGAGTCTGTAATGACCAAGACAAGACATGGCAGCCTCACCTTGAGACAGCTCTAAGGACAGCAAACGGTTCCAGAACACTCATAAAGGGGGGGCATCATGAGACTAGTAGAGATGGGGCAGACTGATCACTCTGGGATTTTTTTTTAATCTAGCAGTAATCTAAAAACTGTCCCCCAATAAACAGGGAACCTGAGAAATTTAAGGACAAGAAGCATAAAGTTTGCAACCATCCCAGGAGTGGGACTTCCTGAGAGAGACCACTGGAGGGTTAGACTATTACAGAGCAGACTAGCAGGTTTCTTCCTCCTTTTTACCTGCCCCCTCCCAGAAGTCTTAACAAGGACTTCATTATATTTCAATAGAGCTCTCTCTCTGCCTGTGAAGTAAGCATGGGAATCCAACAGTTAGGTATAGAGAGTCTCAAGTGTAATTGCTCAGTCCTATTTATTGCAGAGGGAATTTTCCAGGAGGTTAGACAAACCCATGGAGACACTATTGCGATCCTGTCTGTTGGCATCAGGAGTTGAAGCTGTAACTGTTCCCATCTAGATCCTACATCGATGACTACCATGCATAAATTATGATATAACCCTTCCTGCTTCACCCTGCTGGGATAATGCCAAACCACCTAGAATGCCCTTATAGATTTTTAATTGCTTACTTGGAAAAAAAATGAGTACCTAAATGGAAACATAACCCTCTCTTTAAATGGATATGGGAAAGTTCTGTGGCTGTATTAAGGGGAAATTTAAATGCGATGACTGGCTCCTATGGGAGGTAATAATAACAACTACAGCCAGCCATGTCTGGTGTCCAATTTTCACAGTGTGGTTTCCTTTATTTGGGGAGACAGGGTGATAAATGTGTAATTGCATTGGGTTAAAAAGAAAAAGGCTTTTCTGTCTTCAAGTCCAGAGAAGCGTTCACCCTGTCTATTCACTTCTAAAGCTTCTGAGTGCATTTTTGTGGATCATTTGGTTTTCAATCCCATTTCCACGGGGTACAAAGCACAGCCGCTGTTTACTTTATTAAGGTAGCAATCCGTCCTTCTCCAGGAACGTCTCACAGCACATTGCAAAGTCTCTGACACCTTTCCATTTCCAGTGTCATTAAATGAGTAAGTGTTACACGTTTTCTCTTAGGAGAGTAGCTTTACCCTCCCCTCCCTCCCCTTCTACTCAACCTGGTGACTCATCTCTCCGATTGCAAAGAGCAAGACACGCCACTCCACCTTCAACGCCAAAGCGGGGATCTGCTGGGGCACAATTTGCAATTTAAGGAAAACCCCCAAAGGCTACAGGCGACCTGCTGATCAGGAAAGAATTTCGCTCTTGTCAAGTGCATCATCCTTCATGACCACTAACTTTATGTTTTTTTTCTTTCCTTTGTTGTTCTGTTTCCTATTTCGCCAGGAAGTATTTCCATAGTTGCTGAGAATCAAAGCACAAAAGAAATCCCTACCTATGTAAATGTTTGAATGGAGGACGCCAGTAAAAACAAAAACAAACAAAAAATAAAATAAAAACAATCAAAGTCCAAACAAACAAACAAACACTCACTGCATCGGGACTTTTTAATTCTTCAGACACAGACAACAAGGGTTTTTAGCTTTAAGCCTGTGCATGTGGACAATACCTTGAGAACATGCTTGGAGGGCAGTGTACAGGTGCTGTATTTTACTGGAAAAACACTCCCCTCCCCCTTTCTTCTTCTCTCTCTTTTTTCTGATCGGTCGTGTTTGTAGAAAATTCATAACATATAAAAAGCCAAGGAAATCTGCATGTATTTTTGGAAATATTCTTGGCTCTAGATTTAACAGCTATTTTAGCACTATAGGCTGGTGGTTGGATTAGCCACCCCAGCCCCTTTCATAAGACACAAAGACATGCACAGGAGTTTGAAACCCTGAGCTGTTTCTCTGTTCCACTTTCCTTGTTGCCATTTTCCCTTCTGAGTTATCTTTGGTAGCTCTGTTGGCCAGCAGTGGCCACAAGGCTGCTTTTTCCATTCTGTGCGGCCACAGGGACAAAAAAGCAAGTTGAAATTCCATGTATGTAGCAGAGTAGTGAAGGAAGGCAGGTGAAGGGCAAGCATGTCAGAAGAGGACCTTTGTTTCCTGTTCACTCCTTCCCATCAGGACTGCTACCCCTGGCAGCTTTCCCTACTCCTGCCCCCCAACGTAGGTAGAAAACAGAATCCCAGGTACCCATTGTTCTGCCTTCCCATTGTTTGCTCTCCACGTGTGGTCACGATCTGTTGACATCTTTGTATCTTCCTTCCAATCCCCAAGTTATCCTTCAACTGCGCCTACTTTTTCTTCCCAAACATGTCGCTAGATTCTGGACATTAATCTTGATGTTCCCTAAATACCGGCCCAGCCTCTGCCAACCCTGCCTCCACCAACCGCAAGTTTCTGATCTCTCCATCAGTTTTGTAGACTCCCAAGCATGCCAGCTTCCCTACACATTGACCAAGCTGCATCCTGCCCTGCAGGGTTCAGCTTCCTGTATCCTTTGTCTCCTCCTGTAGAACCTGCCTCTTCCAAATATCTCCGCCTTTTCCCACCTAGAAAAGTACAATGTGTATTAAAGAGTTGAGACGTGCAAAGCAATTCAAACCTAGCCATGTACATTAGAAAAGAAAGCATACAGATAAATGGCGGTATTCTCACACCTTAACAAAAATCTCGTGCAGTCAGATTCCAGAAGGTTCTTGTGAGAATTGTTTTGAATGCATTACCCTGTGGCAGGGCAATTTCCTCCTGTGATGGTTGCTATTACCCGGTATTTCCTCTCTCACAGTAGAGTAAAATATTTGGAAAATAAAACTGATTTCAAACAGAAGAAGCAGGTTAATGGATTTAATGTTTAAGAGTGTCAAAACGTCTGAGAATATACAGAGGTCTTGTCTTCACCAGGATGAGATTTTGATGATGTATGATGGTCTCCAACATATCACATATGTGCTCTCTGATCTCTGAGTATCACAGTCTCAGCAAAGGAAATATCAATAAGCATAAAGAGGAGGAGTTAGCTGACTAAAGCAGATGGGCTCAAAGCATGAAGAAATCCCCGTTTTCCCAGCGCAATCATGAAAGAAGGCTCAGAGAAGGAGAGGAACGAAAGTATGTCTAGCAGAAGCCCTTGGAATATTATGAATTGGGCAAAGCCCAGTCTAAAATCTAGGAGAAAGTGGTTTTGAAAAACCCCTCAGAAAGCGCAGCCTCCTTCTTAGCCATGTCCCCAAGCCAACAGGGTATAATATTGCTCTGCGGTAATGAGGGTGTCCTAAAGATCCTGAGGATCCCTCCCCTTATGTACCCAGCAAGGGACGAGTAGCAACGCAGCAGTCAGAAGCTAATCAAGCAGAAGGTTTTATGCTTAAAGGTGCCCAGTAGGAATCTGGGCAATGGATTACGCCTGAGGCAGCCATCTGTTTGTAGAACTCAATTGATCCCTAACCTGCCAGGCTTCCTATCCCATAGGAAACATCCTCATTGATCCTCTTCAGTTGGAGCCTCCCAAATTTAATCTGGAAGACAAAGTGTTTAGAAACGAAGAGAGGCTCACTCAGCACAGCACAGGGAGTCCTCAGAGTTGCAGTTCAGTTAATTTTAATTAGAAAATTATGAAAAAGGGAATAACACTCTTGATCTAGCACAGTGCCTTGCCTAGAGTAGGTATGAAGAAAATTATTTGTTGAAGGAATAAATGAATGAATACATGAGAGACATAGGGAAGAATGGGCTTGTAAGTCCTAATTAAAAATAGAGGTGGACATGAGATGCCTGGCATTTTGGAAAGTGATCAAAGATGGCCAGCTCTAGATTCAGCATCTCCAAGGTCCTCATGTGCCTCTCCTCAAAGCTCCCTCCCACCTGTAGGAGATTCGTGAGGCAAGGTACTGCTCAGAGGGGACCTCATTGTTCTCATGATCTAGTTCTGTGGTTCTCAGGAGTATCAGCATCACCTCGAACTTGTTAGAAATGCAAATTTTGGGTGCCCCACCCCAGATCTACTGAATCAGAAACTCCAGGGGTGAAGCCCAGCAGTCTGTTTTTACAAGCTCTTCAGGTGATTGTGATGTCCACTAAAGTTTGAGAACCACTGTACTAGGCCATTCCAGCTCAATCCCAAAGAGAAGGTAGTAATGAGAGACTGCAAATGGGAGGGACCCAAGTGCCTACCTACTCACCAACAGCAGGTGCAAACGCAATGAGGAGTTGGGTGGGCTTGAGGCAGAGGAGTGGGTGGAGGGAGATGGATATAGAAGGTAATATTCAGGGCAAACTAACAACCTGATATTGCAACATTTTCCAAAATCCCGGAAGGCAAACTGTGCGTGCTCTACCCTGAACTACCCAACAAACATTTTCTCCTTTGCCTTATTCCTAATTGGATTCACTGTCCAAAATGCAGAGGTTTGCTTTGCTTTTTCTCAGAAGTTCCAAACAGCAACTTTGAGAGCAATGGGGTGCTTGGCAGCTGTTCTGTGTTTTCCAGGATTCCAACTGAGCATTGAAATCCCTCATTTGCCAACTTATTTTTATAGGAAGCCAATTTAAAAAGAAAAAAAAAAAAAGTTTTCTTATAGTATCAGAACTACTTCCTATTTTAAAACGACTTTTTGATGTATTTTTTGTTAAATACTATGTAGTGTAATGTATAATTGCTCTTGTTTATTGCTTTTACAATCATATTTATTAAACAGATAATGTCTCTAAAGTCTTGGCCTCATAGTGTTTATTTTATCCCAAACCTTGGTGGTCAGTCTTGATATAGAAGTGATGCATCTATGGGATTTCATTAAGGCTCATTGCAGTAAGCACCACAGGCTTGAAGGGCTTGTGTTTTTTTTGCTAACAAAGTAGAATATATTCTACTACTTGAATTCTATCTGCATTTCAGTTCACTATATAAGGTCTGTTGCTTTATTAAATTACTTGATTCCATATAAAAATCACTCCAAGCTGGTTACTTAGGAATGAGCAACATGCTCATTATTTTTAGTTCAAAATTAGAAATTATTAATATGCAACAAACCCATTCAAATTTGTTCATAATCTTTTAGTTACTAAGGACCAAACCTGCATGTAATGAACTGAAACTTGGGGAGTGGTGAAGGCTGGCATGAGAGCATAGAAATGGCTTGGAACCTGGAATTAGGGGAGTGGAAATCTCCTTCCAGCTGGCTATGCCAGCTGTGTGACCTTGAGCAAAGCACTTTAACATATAAAAGCATTAGTGTCCTCGCGCATATAATTTGAAGGAAGAAGATACCATCCAGCTTTGGTATTCTGAGTGGGTGAGTCATTCCCGAGAGTCCCAAACAGCTGATTTAAACTTGGTGGAAAATAAATAGGTGGACTGGATCCAAATCTTTTCAGCCTTGTGTCTTGCCTAAGTAAGTGGCAACTCTTCTTGGGCAATATTTTGCTCTCATATTTGGTTGAAACATTTGGGTAAACACAGAACCCTCCTTAGTCTTCCCCAAGACCTGCCGGGCTCAGAATGGCAGTTGCTTCAAGAGCAAGGTGTCAGCATGCATGAGAATTCCTGTTGTTTTTAGGTGACAAATTCCTTAAATAATTGAAGAGCCAAGATGCCAAATAGGGGAAGGGGAGGCAACCCCAAGATTAGCATCAATAAGAAGCCTCTACCTTCCCTGGGCTGCAAGGATGCAGGGATTCCCAGAGTTCAGGACCCAGTACACAGATGAAGCTGAAGTCAGGAAGGAATTGTCTGGCAGTTGCTGGAGCCATGGAAGGGCTATGGAGGAGACAAGGCCATAGCCAACGATGCTGCTGTCGGGAGAGAGAGAGAATCTCCCTCTGCCCTTTTCCTTAAGGTTCTTATGACTGGCCAAATAATTAACAAGACAGGTTAGCAGGAGAAAATAGTACCAAGTTTAATAACATGTATACATGGGAGAAAGCAGGGACACTGCGTTTCTCAACACAATAGCAGAAATTCTCGTCTTAAATACCATGTTCAGCCAATGACAAAGGAGGATGTTGGGGGTGGGGGGAGTCAGTTACAGAAGATTACCACTAAAGCACTGTAAACAAGAGTAAGGTTATTATGCAGATTTAAGGCCTCACCTTCCACAGTGATAAGTTTCTAGAAATGAGGTCATCCCCCCTCTTCCCAATACAGAGAGGGAGATGCCTTTACAAATGGAGATTTCCCTTATAAATGTAAATGTTTGTCTGGCAACTCCTCGCAGGGCCATCCAGAGAATGTAGCCAGAGAGACATAAGATGGTCTTGTTGGTGCCTTTTCTATTGTAACATCTATTTTACATTATATTACAGCCATCAGGTAGAAGATCTGTTCCAGGAAGCAGTTACTATGTCAAATTCTTTAGGCAGTTAGTGGGGGAGGTCAAATGTCCTCGAGAAAACAACCAAGGTAAAGAGATAGATTTCAGGGTGGCCAAATCTTGATCTCCCACACTGCCCAAGCCGAGAAGATGGAGAAAGAGAGTTTGTCTTTCCCTTGCCCTGGCCCTGCCATCTCTAGCCCATGCTTCCCAGTGGCCAAACCCAGCCACAAGCCTGTGGGCAGTGGAACCTGGGAAACACAGTTTCCTGAAATAACAAAGCAGAGCAGGGGAGGAGTGGAGAGTAGACTTGAGAGACTACAGGCAGGTGACTGGTACAGCACCTCTTTCAAGTTCAACCCACATCAAATCCAACAAATCTCCCCTAACCCAAAGGCACTTATGAAATAGTAGGTGCTCCTTTCTCTGTGACATTCTTTCACATATTTCTCTTTAAACAACACGTATTTAACAGTTGGCATTATGTTTATGTCCACCACTTTATGCCTTTCTCACCAAATTCTATGCTCATTTAGGAGAAGATCTATATTTTACTTTTCTTTTCACTCTTTCAGCCTCTAGCACTGGACATTGCCATTAGGGGGCACTAGATAAATGTTTGCTGAAACTCAACTTTGTATTTTCAGCTTTGTGTTGGGAGCAAGTCCATTTTATTTAGCAACGATCTCTGAGGTGCCGTCTTGTGTCCGACTCCCTTACCCAGCTAGCACCTCTAATTACATGTTCAATTGGTGTTTGTCAAGAACCAACACATCCTTGCCCTTCCTCTCTGTTAGCACCCAAGCTGCTGTGTTCAGGGAGCTATTCTTGGATATTAATTTAAGTGAAATAA